GCTCCTGGCATCGCTTCTGGGAGCAAGGACGCCACTAGGGGCTCCTGGCCTTACTACTAGGAACAAGAAGCTACTACTATATAGGAGCTCCTGGCATCGCTACTAGGAGCAAGGACGCTACTATGTTCACCAAACCAACTCTTCTCATTCACACCGCAGGGCCACTGGCCATGTCCGTTCCCCATCCCGTCGCACCTGTGCCCGTATTGCGTCCATCTCCGAGTCCCGGAGTTTCCGCCAGGTCACCGAGCCGGGCCTTGGGCGCTTTTTGTCCTCCAAGAGTTGGAGGGGGAAGAGTGGACATAGCAAATAACTGTATATACAGTATAAAATGCCTATGTATATATACAGTATACATATGTAGTATGCCTACCGGGCTATGTATAAAATTCTTACACGCATAGGCAAAACATGCATATTTACATACATGTGGAAAAATAGATTTACATCCTAGAACGGGTCAGCCCCTATTGGTTATGCAAGTTTGTAGAGTCAAGCTTTGTTGGCGGCATCAAGCTTGCCATAGTTCGGCACGCCAACAATGAGGCCACGAATTAAGTAGTCGTTGTACAAGTTGTGGGGAAGTTGCTCTTCAATGGGCACACATGTTCAAAGTGGGCATCGGTGGACATGGTTGGGGCATCGGTTAGGCACTCCGCTGTAAATACAATTTATATATATAACCATAGATTCTGTCGGATGCTCGTATTCAGGTACATGTCTTTTCATGTATGTAATATAGCGTACGTATACAAGCCTCTGGAGTAGATAGAATTTTGTTCAGGCTGGTTCACATTCTATCCGCCACAGGATGAGTGCATTAAATTTACAAATATGAGATCGTATGAGACCTACTAATATATAACCAAAACAACTCAACTAATGCATGGTTTGTCGATCTTTGAGGTAAGAAAGGCTAGATTTTATTCTGCGATCTTTGTCAACTCCATCATGATGAGGAGTGTAATTACTCATTTTGTAAAAACATATATTGACCAAACAAACCTCTGGTTGCGGTTCTGTCAGGCCTCCCATGATTATCCCATGCATGTTCAATCACATCAAGCCTACCAGAAACTGTACAGGCTGGAATTCGGCCAAAGAAACCAGTGACAGTGTCATGTCTACTCTATGTTATCATCGTTTCCGACTTTTCCTTTGTGTTATTGAGGTACATTGAGAAGTGCAAACGTGTTTTGCTCCGTTTAGTCGCACTGTTACACATAGAACACTCTGTCCAGAACGCGGAATGCAATTTCTGAGATCCGTGCCGCCCAACGGAATCTGGGCAAAGTTCCACCTGGCGAAACGAAGTCGGAATGTTGGACTTGCAGCTGCAGGACCTTTCCGACACAGTCTCTGACCTTGTAGAGGCTCTTCGCCTGGTGCGATGAGGAAAGCGAGCGTTTTTTCACAACACGACTTGTGTCCTGCCTTTCCAGCATCATTCTCATGTCGGCCAATAGTCCTGCAAGATTGTGGGCATTTCATCGAAATTTGAAACTTATGCTGTGGTGCTGTTCATTGACCAGGTGACCATCTGGACGAAGTAGTGTTCAAATGATTCAAGAGAACCCAGTCCAGTTGTGGCCATGGCCTTTTCCATTTGGACCCATGAAATGGTGCCTGAGCTGATGGCTAACTCTTGTGCTTCTTTGGGAAAAAGCAACGGTCTGAGACTCTGGGCTGAAGAAACGGAGAGCCATCACGGCAACTGGGATAGAAGGCACGCTCCCAACCTGATCGAGTCACACCTGATGTATTAAGGTTACGCTATGCTTAATGCAGACTCTTAGTTAATCTTGATAAAACATATGAAGAGGCCATCCAAATGGGGGATCATCAAGAGTCTACATTAATTACGCCAAGGACTCAATACAGTCAAACAATCTCTGAAATTGAACATTCTTGGGCACTGGCTCCCATCTTCGAGGATTTGAAAGCTATCCCATTCCTGTCCACTGGTCTCGTACGAGCTTCGGGTTGGGCAAGTCTCGCCATGCCAGTTCTATGAGGACTCCGGTTTGCCATGCTTCCCAGTATGACAACACACACTTGCTGTTGGCACCTCACACATCCATGGCTTAGACAATGCATTGTTTCAGTCCCCCATTGTTTAAAATTAAAGGAGCCATATCATGCCCTACAGACCCCACCCACAAGTGATACGGGCAGCAAATAAACATGAAGGGAATGGGGGGGTGCGGCACGATGTGCAAGTGCCATGGCGTGCCAGGGCTGCATGTTGTAGGTCTACATCTTGAAATGACTTCCGCAGAAAGGGTAACGGTAAAGGGATGTAAAAGGCAAATGCCCTCGCAGTTGCTGTCCTTGCCAAAAATCGTTGGAATTCATGCCGTCCTTGCCGCCTGAGCTCTCATGCGACATCGCCGCGCCTGAGCACTCAGGCTGACGATGAAGAAGAAGTTCGCTCCATCCCATTGCCTGGCACATTCCATGTCCAGCTTCCATCTCTCTGTGTCATAGACTGTATATATATATATATCTCTCTCTCTCTGTATATATATATATTTATATGTAGACTCGACTTGACTGGAGGCTGGACTCACTAGGAGATGTAGTCCATGGGAAGCTACGGTATGCTAAAGGCCAACCTGAAGCGAAGCCGATCCAGCTCTTTAAGCAACGCCCGAAGAGCATCTCGTTGCCCTTGAAATCGTCCCAAGTCCTTTGAGGTCAGCCGCATCGCTGGCGTGGGGTGCCGTTCAACGTCGAATGGGCGCCGCTCGTTCGCGATCCTGGAGACACCAAGCTCCCGACCCCGCGATGGTATACCGCTTGGAAGTAAATTTGAAGCACCTCAAGTCTCACGTCCGAACTTCGGTGCTCAAAGAATAAGGAAAGCGAGGGTGAGCAGTGAGGGGAGGGGACAACAAACTATTTGTGAGTCTTCGTGGTAGTCGAAATAAGTATGGGGCCATCTGATGTCATGTCATTACTGTTAATGGATCATGTTCCAGTCTTTGGACATTCATGCTCGCCAGCCGCTGTTGATTCACAGCGAGTGTGTCGTCTTTTTCTCCCGGCGATGTTGCCGTCCTGGCAGCTGGAATCGATGCATTCGTTGATTGTCGCGCTGTTGATATAGGAGCTGTCTGTTCCGAGTGGGGGACAGTAGACAAGATTCGAACATAGTAGAACACACACACACACACCGAAGTCACCCTGCAATGCAATCGCAATCAACAACTTTGGAGTTCTATGGTGATCAAATTGTTCTGCAACGATTTCGTTTCTCAAACTCTGTGCTCAAGTGCGAAGCTGCAGCTAGTGCTTCATGATCCTCCTGTGGTACCCGTGGCCTTGGACGCCTGAATTATATATAGAAGCCCTGAAGAATGCAATGCCAAGCCGCCAGGCCAGATTCATCAGATATTTCTGTCCCCCGCCTCCAGTCATGAGAGTTTTTAAAATAAACCTAGTCCCGAGTACCTATTAAAAAGCCTCCTCCCCAAATAAAACCACCATGTCCGAAACCCTAAGTACGGTTTATATGTGTTTTTAAATGACTGCCCTTTCAAGCCGCTATTAAGCTACCAACATGGTTGATTTGTGTTGTAGTTTTTTAAATATTAGGTTCCCCCAAACTCCCTCAAAATAGGTCCCCAATACACCCTCAAAATCGACCATGTTGCGTTGCTGACTCTCCGCTGGCTGTCCCTCCGCTGCCTGTCTGCCTCTCGTTTCTGCTGTCAAGCGGACTGTCTGGCTGTCTGTCTGGCTGCCACAAAATCTGTCCTTCAAGGTCCACAAAGTACAGCACATGCCACGAAATCTGCACTTCAAGGTCAAGGTCACTTCAAGGTCCACAAAGTACTGAACCTGCTACGAGATCTGCACTTCAAGGTCCACACGAAATCTGCACTTCAAGGTCCACAAAGTACTGCGATCCTTCCACTGACCCTATTTTGGACCCCCCCGATTTCAGGGGCTCCCTATTGGCCCCCTATTAAGAAGGTGCGGCCGAGTTTTTCTTGGTGGGGGGGAGGCGTGTTTTTAAACAATCAACTCAATCTTTTCCATGTGGAAATTTCCAATTGGTTTCCTTGTACTTTCCTGATGGTCTTGGTGGTCAAGAGTGCTCGCTCAAACGATTGTTTTCTGGCGCTCGCCAATCACACTATCTGAAGGAAGAGCTCTCAGCCAGATGCATTTCGGTAATCAAAGGAATTCCCTTGAGAAGCTTGATGAAAGCCTTGACTTTTCGTGGCAGGTGCATGAGCTTGGAGTGGTTTTACTTCGTGCAGCTTTCGTGGCAGGCGCAGCACTTTGTGGACCTTGAAGTGCGGATTTTGTGGCGGCTGCAAAAAGCTTATGTCTGAGGACATCTGTCTGCAACACCACCAGCATGGTGCTTGAACCAAATCCTAGAAGGAGGTTCTAAAATCCTGTGACTGAGACACACTGAAATCCTAGAATCCTTGGTGCATCCATCATTTATGAAATCCAGTTTCGATCGGGTGCATCGATTGTGTATAGCATTATAGTCTTACCCTTTTTCCTGAGTGTAATGTTCCGCAAGACAAGGAAAATGCTAGCACACAAATAAACAAAGCAAGAAAAACGCCTGCAATGCGGGTTCCGACTCAGACAAATCTCAACAGTCCGACTCCGAACACCTCTGTTTCACCCACGGTTTTCTCCCACCTGCCCGCTCGCACCGCCAAGCGTAGCCGCGCGCTGCGACTCCTTCGGCGTCGGCGCTGACAACGTCGAGGGCGCCGCGTCGCACGCGCGGCCGGAAGGGGTCGGTCCTGGCGTTGTTGTGCAGCTCCGCATCACTGGGCCTCAAGCCCTGAAGAGGGGCCCAACGATTGACCCAAAATAAAGCCGAAAGATTGGGCTTTGCAGTTGACTCATGTTGACTCTCTCTCTCTCTCTCGGGGTGGGCATGACTCAAAACCACAGCCGTCGACGGTTGACATTTGCATACATTTGCCATCTGTTGACTGACCGGTGACCCAGCAGCTTCGCCCAGCAAACTCACGCGCGTCAACTGGACCTGCTCGCCTCTCGAGAGCCTGCGGGGATCCAAAGCGAATCTTCTCGAGATCCTCTGGCCAAGGCACTGCCTCGAACCTAGCATCTCATTGCGAACGCAAGTACATTGGGATGCTTCCAAAATCTCTGTGTGACAATAAAATGCCACCCCTTTGAACAGGCCCCTTGGACCCTTCTGGATGCACCAAAGAGTTCTTTCGCTTCCTACAACACATGTCGTGTGTCTGTCGGTGGGGAAGCAAGGCGTGCCTTTCGCCGGACCATATCATCCTCCAATGAGTGGAAGGTAATGATTGCCAAAAGGCCTGCATGTCAAGAACTCAGAGAACAGGCTTTTTGTAGCCATGGTAAGTACATGTTAGTATCATTTAGTACCCTCTGAAATTAGCGCCCCACTAGTGTGTGTGTGTGTGAGAGTATGAGCTGCGTGCCACTTCTTCAACACCGAGCAGTCTGGTAGAAATCATTGATTTTGTACGTCACTCGTCTGTGTGTGTCACGGCTGAATGAATGTGAATATGTTCTGGAACAGGAATTCAGGCAAGCTTGTCGCCTCCAGGTGCCAAGTTTTTCTCAGCGGCAAGGAGCAGTGATTCCAAAGCTTGAAGCTCCCCTCAGCTGTTGCAGCTTGGTCAGTTGATTCGTGGTGCTCCTCGGAAAACACCGTGTTCCTCAAATTAGCTGACCTGCACAGCTGCATAGTAGTAGACAGTAGACTGCAGGTGCTGATCTTTTTCGCTTGTGTGGGTCAGTTCACGCCATTCAATCCCTAAGCGCCAAGCCGTTCACAAGGATTCTGAGAGCTTGGAAAGTCCTGAGACGGCAATCTGCAGGCTTCATATTGACATTGCTTCGCATCTGTCTTCAAAAAGAAGCAGTTGATTAGCAGTTGAATTAGTTGAATTGTTGCCGCAACGAACGTTACGAAGCAAAGCAACCATCAGGCATGGCCTGGCTCAAACATGAGTATCCCTACAATCCTCGGGTGGTGGGGTGTAATCATGTGTAATCTGCTCCGGTGATCTGCTAATCTCTTGAGTCAAATCTCAAATCTGTTCTCTCAGCCCTGATCTTCAAGGCACCTCGTAGCCACATGAACTCGCCCAGCTGGAAGGCATGCTTGTCTAGCACACTCCTGCTCTTATTGGCTGTTTTGAGCGCTGCCCTTGTGCAGCTGCAACAATTATATCTTAAGGTTAAAGAGGCGGGCTTTGCAAAATTGCAGGAACCAGTGGGCTTGACGCAAACTCAAGTGTCCACAAGGCACAAGGAGCAGCTACGCCATCTCAGACCCCATTGGTGTCAACAGTCCTCGATGATCTTCACCGCCTGAGGCAAATCGCCATGCTGAACGCTTCGCCGGGGGATGGTGCCGCACCTCCCTGGTCCGCGCCGGCTTTGCGGCGCACAACTCCTCTGCCACGAGCTCGGCAAACTCAGGGGCCTGGTGCTGCAGACTGCAGCTTCGGAGATATCTCGCATCGCAGGACTCCGGGCCTCCTCTCCAAAGTCGCGAATGTAATTTGCAAGCTGCTTTGGCTGCAAATTCCGGATGTACCAGGCAGCTGTCCTGGCCTTTGTGTCTTCAGTGTCCTCAGCAACTTTCAAAACATCGCTGGTATGAGACCTTCTGGCCTGGACCGACAACTATTGGAATGATGAAAACCGATACATTCCCTGAAGTCACCATGGTTACGTGGATGGCATGGCCCCTTGGATGACCAATTGCCGCATACCAAACCACCTGGTGGTTTTCCACGCAACCATGAAATTCGCGCTCCTCGGAGGGTCATCCTGCAGTTGTGAGTTTCAGGGCTGTTTCCGAAAGACCTTCACCTGGTGCCCGTTCCTCTGAATCGAACACGCTCACTAAAGATCGACTTAGCTCCGTTCCATTCGCATATCCAGCGGGCCATCACCACGAAAGCTGAAGCCCCGGTCAAAGCGATCCAGCTGCGGTGAGGAAACTCCTCCGAGGAGAAGAAACGTAGAAAGCTGCAATGTGTTTCGCATATATAGAAAAATTGGCAGACCCTCGGAAGTCAAAGTTCATACCCCTAAGGTTTCTTGGAGGGAGGGGTCCTGCTAGCCATTTTAGAGTTATATAAAGTGTGCAGGCTGACCACCCCAAGGATAAAATTTCTACTTGACTTTTCTTTCAAGATGGTCCAGCCCAAGTTTCTTCATTCATCCTTTGAGTCTGTCCATCGACACCCAGCAACATGTGCCGAGTACTTCACCTAAATCTGCGAGGAGTCCATGACATAGGGGCCTGGCAGATCCGCATAACATGGGAAAAGCCACATATCCAGCAGGCCCATAATTACTATTTAATGCTTCCAATAAAGTTGCTTCCAGCACACGGATGTTCGGAATTACGTGATTCACATTCCAAAAGAGGTGTGGCACATTCCCACTGAACGTGGCAAGCCTTTCACCTGATTCTTGGAGGAGTCGAGGAAAATCGGCGAAGTTGCCCTGCACCAGCTTCAAGCCTCGTTGGCCATGAGGGCTGGCCAGTGGACATAGGATGCCATAGGCCATAGGATGCTAAAGGGTCACTAGATTCAATTGCATTCCATTGCCATTTTTAGGGGGTATTGATGAGCTCAGGTTCTTCTCTTTAGCACAAAGGTATCCAACTCATGCAAAAACATTTCGTCCTGCGGCCGAAAGCTCATTTTTCCACCGGTGGCAAATGGCCAAGCGTGAGCTCTTCTGCAGGAATCAAAAGCTGCAAGATAATGGCATCAAACAACATCATGAACCCAAATGAGGTGCACAAACGTGCACATAAACCGTTTCATTGCTCATCATCCCTTTGAATCTTGAGTCAGTTGAAGCTTGCAGTGCTCATCTTCTTAGGCCACTCTTGGCATCTTTGCAGGTGGCTCATTTGGTTCGTCCCCCTCCTGCGGAGGACTGGTGGGCCGGTGCAGGGGCGAAAGGACCAGGAGAATGGGCAACACGCAGGGCGCGTCGCTTGGCAAACAGTTTATTTCTAAATCACTTGCTTCCTTGCTTTAGGCCAAAACATGTTTCTCAATATAGTTTTTGTTGCATCTCAGGCCGTTTAAGCAAGGCATCTGAACTCGAGTACAGCTGAACATCCTTATCACCCACAACTCGATTCATCACCAGGGGGAGGCCGCGAAACCAACCAGCAGCAAACCGACCGCCTTGGCTCCCACCTTGGCTCCCTTGAAGCGTGTGATCATTGTAATGCCCAGCGGAGAGCCCGTGTCCATTGCTTCGATCGCCTGGTGTTCGACCGGTCGTGACTGGGTGACGGCCCAAATCCAAAAACTGCATTCCTTCCAAAGGGATTTACTACTAGGAACAAGCAGAAGCTACTAGGGGCTCCTGGCATCGCTTCTAGGAGCAAGGACGCTACTAGGGGCTCCTGGCCGTACTACTAGGAACAAGAAGCTACTAGGGGCTTACTTATTTATTTGTGTTTTGTTGTCATCCAGGAAAACGCATGAGTTGAAATAGAGTGCTGTCATCAGAGTGATGCTCAAATCCTGTGACGGGCACCTTTGCTCCCTCTTCCAAAGTCACCTCACCTGGGCGGGCAGACCACGGCCCTTGCGAAAAGCACCTTCTGCGCCAAGCTGCCAAGCTCATGAAGGGGGTCATGTCCCTTTGTTAGACTTCTTTCCAAACAGGAAATGATACGGCTGATGATGTTGGCCTCTCCAAAACGCAACTCTTTCCAACTGATCAACTGAACATTGCGCAAGGATCAAAAGGATTCCATTCTTCGATGCTCACAGGAAAAGACAAACGGATCCTTTTGCAAAGGACCAAAATGCCAAAAGGATCAAAAGCATCATTATCTACACTCCGTCTCAGTCACATGAACGGGGATGTTTGTAAACGAGAGTCCCCATGTTCATCCATGTTCCACGTCCACTGAGTCGGAGTGTTATAACTAGGAGCAAGAAGCTACTAGTAACAAACAAGGGCATCGCCACAAGTAACAAAGGGCATTACTACTAGTAGCATTCTTACTACTAGTACAAAGGACGCTATATAAATGATTCTTCCGCTCGGATACGTTGGACCAGCTTCTCCGGCATCAGTCTCCCGGCGGCAACCATCGCAAGCAGCACTGGCATATCTGTGGCAGCCAATCCATGTGAACCTCCATGCCGCACGTGTCTTACAGAATGCGGACTTGGGAATAAAACCTAACCTGGAATGAAACCATTATCAATCTTGATTAACGAACGAATGATGAAATACTATCATGATTCCCTCTCTCTCTCTCTCTCTTTTTCTCTCCATCGCATTCATGAGTACAAAGCTACAGTTTTGTGTCGAGAGAGCGTTCAAAGTTCAATGCTTGCTTGTCCTAGTTCTGCATTTCCTGGTCTTTCATGTCTCCCACTCTCATGTTTTCCTCCGCTGTTTTCCCCCCATTGTCTCAATAACCTCTCAATCTGATCTAATCGGATCTTCTTTGGCCCAATTATTGATTGCTGTCTCAATCCAAGACAGATCCAGAAAGCAATATTTGTGGAGGATTCATGGGTGGTTCGTTGCTTGTGCAGTCAGCTGTTTATTAGGTTGGCATGGGATATGCAAAATGCTACACAGCAACCAGGATTCTCGAATCTCATATAGAGAAGCCATTGCCAGCGGAGCCATACTTGCCACATTAACTATGCCTTTTCAACGCAACATGAAACATCCAGTTACTGTCAACTAGCCAAGCTTTTGGGAAATGGCAAGGGGGTTCAAGTGGATTTTGGATGAGCATGCTGCGGCCACGATCCGTTGTGCTTTCTGACTGCTTAACACTGAGGCCGCTGCCAATAATCTCGATCTCCTGGTTGGCTACCCTGCCGAAGTGAAAAATCGGTCCAAACCACTTACTGATGAGGTCTTGGCGTCATCCACAGCAAAATGGAGAACAGTCCCAGTGCAAGAATTTGAATCAACCACCTATAGCAAGTCCATAAGTACACTTCCACCATCTCCCACCCGAAGAAACAACACAAATGCTGCTCCAGCAAAAACTGCTTCAAGTGCTGATCCAATCGGGCCTTGCCATTGGAATGCAAGGCTCTTTTCCATGCAAAGGAAGCCCGACTTGCACCATGCCTTGATCATGGAACCATTGCCAAATGACACAAACATGCCGCACACCCACCCTACCCACCCTGTCCATTGAGAGCATGGGAGAGCCCACCCGGCCAAACATTTATCACGATGAGCAGAACTGGAAGTTCTGAGGAGTGAGGAGGAATGGCCCATACAACTTGCAACGTGCAAAGTACTAACACATATATAGTAATATATACATATAAAAACATGCTGCCTATAAACATACAGTATATTGTTCAGGCTTTTCATCTGAAACCTCAGCCAGGCTCTTTGGCTCCCAGGGGCGTCCACCCCTGCGGGTGCACCACACGGCATTCTCACAGGTTGCAGCAAAGCCAGCAGTATCCAAGGTTAAGTCAGCTCCGAAGCCGCCAGTGACCTGTTTGGAAGTGAAACAGCTTCCGCGGGCTTTTTCTTTTCATTCCAAAAAGACTCCAATGTTTCATGCTGAAATGAAAGTGTTCGAAGGCAACACAGGCAAAACAAAGCAAATCAAAACAAGCATCACTTCTTGCTGATCTAACACGGTAGAAGCAGCTCTCAAGCTCTCAAGTCTCACCTCTGCAACTCTTGCCCTGATGTATTCATCGCCTGCCCAACGATGCAAATCGACGTTTGGGTCTCGTGCTTCGCCCTGCGGCCCTGTTCACCGCGCTTGGCATGGGTTCCGACTGCGTCATTCCAACTCGTGCCGGTGCAAGTGAAGCACCTTCTTTGGCATTGAAGGCCTTAGAGATGCACAATGACAATCATTGCACTGCAGATTTGAATCAATTGGCTGGAACACCCAGCGGTGCTTTTCTCAATCTGGTGGCCAAGGCACGTGCCAAGCACCCAGCTCCAGTGCCTGTCATCTTGCTCTTCCAATGCTGGATTAAAGACTCTGGTTTTAAGCGGTCAGTCTGTCAATACGCCAGGAGCAAATAAAAAAACATGGACCCCGACTTACTTACTTAGGACAATACGCAAGCCAAAGCATTAAAAACATCGCTTTGCTGGATTGGTTTGCCTAGATTACAGCATAAATACAGTACGCCCTTAAAATAGAGCTTTGATTGGCATCATTTTAGTGGATCATGTTCTGGTATGGCATTCCGTTCAACCATATTGAACAAACATGCTTTGCTTAAACCACCATGGCTCTTGCTCCTGGCAGAAAAAAATCCAGGTTCCTTCACGTGAAGGTCCCAAGCCTTGTTGCATGCCTCTTCGCTGGTGTCGACGGCGAGAACCCGAACGTTGTCTCCAGCAGCTAGAGCTATCATAACCTCCATGTTCGTGAGCTAAAAAACAATCGTCGGTGGATCTACAGCAAGTCACGCTTAACGGCTTGACATGTCTTGACTATGGTGAGGACATGTTTCCCACTGTACACATTACAAACTCTCTCTCCCTCCCTCTCTGTCTCTCTCTCTCTCTCTCTCTCCTCTCTCTCTCTCTCTGGACGGGCGTTTCACACTTTTCTCAAAGGCACAGCTGAAAGGCCCAGGCCGCCACAGCCAAACACGCCCACAGTCTCACCAGACTGGAGCCGTCCCTGTTGCATCACCTTAAGATGTCGCTGGGTCTGACACTCTAGAACTCACTTGTGCGGTCCCACTATACTGATCTATACTGAACACCCCTCTGAGCAAACTCTTTGGCGTCGTTTGAACTGACAAATGGTTGAAAGAACGTTCTGGGATGTTTTTGGTTGCTCCGTCGTGAGCAATATTGGCTTTCAACTGCCAGGCCGCTGCCCGGTATGCAGTTGTCAAGCGGCAGCCTAATGCTGCGGCTTGAAGAAATGATACCTGGTCAACACCAATCAGGGTTAAACCTAACTCCTTGCTTGTATCTGTCTGTATCTGACTCTGTCTTGCCTCTAGAAATGTCAGCAAATGACCAGCCTTGGGGGGCATGAGGCTCACATTCCGGTCAGCCCGTGGCACAGCCACAAACTCGGCGAAGCCGCCAGGCATCGTGAAGCCCGGTTGCCCTTGTGCCTGGCGGTCGCGAAGGCGGCGGAAGAACAACAGCTTGCGCCATTGGGCCTCACAAATGGTAGGCCGATTGCGGGCACACTGCCGGCAGCTGCCACAGCTGAGGATAAAAGGCACAGCGACTCGATCACCCACCTGCCACTGGTCTTTGGTGCAAATGAAGATTCATCAGGCGCATTTGAATCCCAGAATGTCACTAGCGCAAAAAGTTGAAAGACTCATCTGTGCCACATGAATTGGACTGAAGGAGATACTTGACTCCTGACAGTCTCAATTGTGCCTTCAATACGTCAATAACATTCAATAAAGCTCAACATGTCTCAACACTGTTTCAACTCCAAACGCTCAAATGCCTGAAACTTTGTCGTCCCCAAACCAAGCTTCACCACAACGCCACTCCTGCATGAACGAGGAATTTAACGAATCTAACCCTTTTTTGAGAAATACTTTTACATGCACATAGAGCGTGCGCACCTCCAAGACTAACGACACTGTGCACTATTCAAGACTGCCCAAAGCTCGGTGTAAACAAGCACGGCAATCATGTGAACGTAGCTCTGGCTTTCAACGCACGGTATGTCTCAATTATCCCATTGTTGAAGGCTAGCACTTAGCAAATCTCGCTTCCAAATGCTTCCAAGAGACAGCTCATGGCCCGGTGTGAAGGGCAAACCATGCCTGGCACACCCAAGTTGTGAGGGATGCCAAGAAACAAAAAAGAACAAAAACGAGCTCCCCGCTGCTTTCGCCCATCCATTGAGGCTCGAAACTCTGTCTCGCTGGCGCAACGACTTCCCGTCGCTTTCGCGGCCGTGGTGCGTGACGATGTCACTGTCAAGACCCTTCCAGCCATGATAGTCAGAGCGGCAAACCCCACAAGCCTGGCACAGACGGGCGTGGCGGTGTGGCAGCAGCGCAACGCAGAAAACGCGAACAACCGGCGGAAGAAGCCGTTAAGCAAACTAAAATGACTGAAAACCTTTCGATGGCTTCCACCTAGAAGCGATAGCCTCCAACCTAATAGCGATGGCCTCCAACCTAGAACGAGAATTTGAACAGGAGTCAGGCTGCCACCGCAGTCATCTGTGATTACAGTTGGGGACTATGTGAAACAGGCCAAGCTCATAGGCAATGATCCGACAAAGCAGGAATGGTGGTCTGAAGCTGGAACAACGAAAGCTATTAAACAACAACGCAAACTGAGTATGAATTTAACAAAAACAACTTGCCAGCTTTGACAAAATAACTGGTGTTCGTGGCTGTCTTTGAGCTTTCGAACATTGCCCATCACTATTATATCTATTATGCTGCCAAGGCCCAGGCAGACAAGCACACCTTTCCTCCCAAGCATATTCTCCTTCGGACAGCTGAACACTGGCACCTTGACCCTCAGCAGCAATCCACCAACGGGAGCTGTAGGCTTTGGAACCTAGCAACACCCAAGAAGTCCCAGTTTCTACACTCTTCAAATTTCACATCATCAAATTTGACAAATCTGGCTGTTCATTCACAGCTGGACGTTGAAGAATGTGGATTTTGACCCAGTTGATGAGCACGCCTCCTGGACAATGATGGGCCCAGAGAAGGTGGTGTAAACAGCAGCTCGCATCGTCGCCATGGCTTCCAATGTGCGGAACCGTGCCTGACATGCCTGTTGACTTTGGAACAGTTGCTGGCATTCTGAAACCTGACACACAAGCGTGATATATCGTGATATAATATACTACATTACTACATAAATATTTTATGTTAAACATATTACTATATTGTTCTAGGTTAAACATCATATCGTCCGCGTGGGTGAGAGAGTGATTTCTGGTCCCCAAATGTCAAAGCATCAAAAACAACACTTCTACTTGACAAGGCCGGTTTAGCAACTATATTGGTGCTAAATCGCACCTGTGAACAAACATGAACAAATTAGGGGATGTGTACCTACAATCAACTGCTAGATACTGCTACGGTAGCAAATATGTGTACCTCATCCACACCTTGACATCTCGTCATGACTCTTGGCTCATACTTTGGGCCACCATGGGTACACAAGCTGCCTTGGTTACATCGGATGGTAGGCCAGTGGCCGAGTCATGTGGGGTCCGCACGATCATCGTGCGCCAGGGGTGCCAGGCGTCTGGCAGCTGCTTGGAGCGCCAAGGAATCCCTGTCGATTCCAAAAAGCCTTACCTCAACGAAACCGGTCAAAGATGAGCCAGGTGCTAAAATGCTACCTGCTACCTTCAAAACACTAGCAGGCGGGCCCTGCCCAAAGGTGTGCACAATGAACTCAAAACTCGGTGGCTGAGGATTTTGTTATCTTGGTGCAGAATTTCCACTTCAAAAGGGACAAACCCGCCCAGGTGCATGCGGCAAGGCTTCCAGGAGGGCCTGGGGTCCGTGCAGATGCAAAAAAAGGCAAGCACCTTCCACTTCAGCAAGTGTCACAAGGCCATCGCATCAGGGCCAATCGACCTCCATTGAAGACCTCTTGCTACACTGAGATGCTGATGATGGCCTTATGTTATCTTATTTTCACACTGTGATATAGCCAACAAAAAGTGGTTGCTGCTGGCCTGGCTGTGACCAGCACCACCAAGAGTACCTGAGTGGCGCCGCTAGAAAAAGCAAACAATTTTGATGCCTAAGTGTCAAGGAATGTTGAGTTGTTATATGTTCCTTTCAAAATCCTGCGCGACCTTAGTTCAAAAGCTGGTTCCAGTCTGGGGTACATACTCACAAGCTACATTCTCATGTCATGGTGCGAAGCGAGCACTTCGTACAGATTCTGCTCACTGATTATAAAGGAGCCCAGCACATGCTGCACCACATGAGTGGTGCACAAATCGCAAACAGTCCCAAGGTCCCACACAAGCGATGTGACGAATCCGCCGAGTTGCAATCGACCACAACAGCTCCTCGTGGCAGCTGCGCTGCCACAAAGGCTTCGGTCACCTGGTGTTCTGCTCGAATTGATGCAAAATCCGGCAGTGTCAAAACAGGGACATTGTGGTTGACCAAAAATGAACGGTGCTCCAGGTTTTGACCCACAGCCACTGCCAAGCCGTGTGGGCACAAACTCTGGTTGCAACTCCTGGAGTTGCACATCGTTCGACTAGAAATCCCATGAAATCCCGGGTGTAGCTTGACCCTGGACATCTCCAAATTACATCACGAAGACGAAGACATCCTGGCTGAAGATCTGAAAATCATGAAAATATGGTTGTTTCTTTGTTCCCCAGCACCACAACTTGCCTGCAATATCCTGCAATAAGCTTCTAGGATCTGCTAGGTCCTCCCCCAACCAACCTCCTCCAGCAACACTGAGGTGTGCTCGAAGCTCCCATCGCTCGCGTCGTCCGCCTCGGCGTCGGGTTTGCACACGCGACTTGCTCAACCCTCGTCACCGTGGAGGCACGCCTGGACTTCGCCACGACATTCGGGCAAGGCTATCGCGTTTGGTGTTGGCACCTGAGAAACTGGTGGGCTGCGCGAATAGGAGTCAACGCTGACCTACAGCATCCTGTTCAATCCACCAGTCCAAAAAAAAAAAACAACACATGACAAAACATCACACCAAGGAAACTCTGATCACGGCATGTACTGCAGGAAACTAATCACGTCCTCCTTGCCTGGACAGCATGCGCCCTTGCAAGTCGGACGGCTGCTGAGACTGCGCGAGACGCCTCACCTGAAGGGAGGGTAGTGCGATGGCTTCTGGAAAACCCATAAGACACCAGTACACTCTGACAATAGTCCGGAAGACAATGTTCCCTGCTCCACCAATCAGCTTGAAGACTTCAGGCAAATTCAGCCCCGGACACAAAAGCGCATAGAAATACGCAAAGCATCGCAAAGCACCTCTTAAACCTCGCAATCCTACATGCTCCGACCCGTCGAATAACCATCGACTCATGACTCACACTGAGTCCAAGGTGCAGCAAGCAACGACGACCCCAACTGCAACAGGATCAGCTGGCCAACACTTGCTGCGTTCCTGCCAAGTTGACCCTGGCTAAGGCCAAGGGAACCCAAAGGCTTCATGTCAACTGCTTACTAATCAACTTCCTCCTGTATATTAAAATATGTGGGAGTCGGAGTTTATTCATCAATAGTCAGTCAACAATAACACAAAGTGTGTCGAAAAATGGCCGTGACAAAGCACAAGTTCTCAAAAAAGCACCAGCCTGTAGCAGGCTGAGTGACAGGGGCCAGTGGCCAGACGCCTGCATCCGGGTGGATGATGCAGTTGAAACAGAACTCCAAACCGCGCGGCGCAGACGGTTGGCAGGTGGCCTCACATTGAGTGATTGCTCACTCTGTTGGTCTTGGATAGGCATCCTAAGTCCAAGATCCTGATGAACCATCTTTTAATCAATGCACATCCAGATTCGAGCAAGCGCAAGGAAATCCAAACGCCCCTCTGGCCTCCAGTGCGCCCAGGACTGTGTTGAAGGAGATTACATCTGGCTGGATACCTTCGGTGTTTTGCGCAATTGACTGAAGCAAACTGGGCACAGCCTTTCTTTCAGCCTGTCGTTAGAAATTGTAAGTGTTAGAGTCAGTGGTCAGTATTTATATATAGGATTTTATAGGATCCTTTCTGAAACAGCTTGGCTCCCTGATTGTCTTTGACCTAGCTTTGCAATTCCGCAACCTGTATCAGCCTATCTGAATTACCTTTCGGATGCACAATGTCGGCATGCTTTGGCACACCCCACTACACCTGCTTGACGCATCTCTTCAAACATGTGCACTGCCAAGGGCCAGCAGCTGACACGCTCACAGGCGTACCTCTGGCTAAACACACACACGTGCTCGGCACCAGGCACCGACCCTGTAGCGCTCTGTGGGAGCAGAGTTTTTAGAACCTCACCAAATGGGATACTAGTAGCTTCTTGCTACTAAAGTAGCGGGGCCCTTGTTACTAGTAGCCATGCCAGGAGCCCCTAGTAGCGAACATTAGGAACGCAATCCTAACCTGAAACTCACAAAGTGGGCCAGGGCTGCCAGGGGCACATCGCAGAGTTGAAGCTGATCCTCGCTTCACAAGGTGGCGACTTTTGATAGCTTAGCTAAGGCTTAGACACACAACAAAGCTTTACAGCATGGTGTTACATGACTTGCTTCATTCCAGCCACTGTTGGAGTGGCTTGAATGTTAACCTTGATCTGCATCCTTCGGAAATGCATCTTACCAGCACTTTTTTGGTGAAGAAGTCCTGTCTCGCTGTACTTGCCAGTTCTCGAATGAGTCGAAAATGGATAAAGCCTGCAGCTCTGACTGGGCTGACAAAGCAGCACATAGCAGCTGCAAAGAAGCAATCAATCAAAACAGCACAAATATATATATATAGACTATATAGAGATATAATTTATAATATGTATATATATATATAACTATATATATTTGTAATATCAATTTATGATCTTTATTCAGTAATAAAATTGATAAACACATGTACATACATCCGTATAGATTCGGGTAATTAAGTGGCACTCAAGTGGCGAGCAAAACATCTCGCCTCTTGCCAAGCTTCTGCTCGACTACAGCAGGACACGAGTGAGTTCAGCGTGATGACATCCTCGGGTCGATTGGACATTGAATGGATCACGGTGAAAACGCGAACGGGACGATCCAAACAGTGCCGCAAAATGTTTACTAGGGATTCGTCCTTGCGGACATGAATTGGGCCTCATGTCGGCATGATACTAAGTACGTGTGGTTGCTGCGCCTTTTAACCGCAAAGTAGGGCGGTTTCCGAGTTAAGTTCCCGGCAGCTTGCAAACACGCAGCTGACATCTCATCAAAGCAACTGCAGCGCGGGTTGCGGGTCACGAGGAGACCCATGAAGCAACATGACCAAAACACCAACGCAAAAGGCATGAGCCAGTAAGAGAAAAACCATGCAAGCAGCCAGCTTTCATTCGCGACAGTCTTCGCCAGCTCTTTTTGACCAAAGTCGAGGCAATTTGGTGCTTCTTATCATCTAGGCAGCTAGGTACCATCATGTACCGTCTGCTGTTCTTTGCTGTGTCTGACTACGGAAGTGTCCCACTATGTCCCACTGTTGAATGTTCTCATAGATTGACATAGGTGGGGGCCGAACGGAATTGACTAAATGAGTGCTTCAGATTCTGGCGCTGTTCTCGCTGGAAAGGACCCAAGCATGATCGTGCGCAATTCACACGTCGTTGAGCTAAAACCACCTTAGTTCACCAATCCAAACAAATGGAGAAAGGATCAGCTGGAGAGAGATAGCAAGAGTTAGCTGGAGAGATCGCAAGGACTGTGCCAATGAGTCAAACAAAACATGATCCTCCGATGAATGCTTTTCCGCGCCAAGGTCCTCGAGTCCGGACTGAAAACAGACTCTCACACTGTTGCACGGATCTTCAACTTGTTCTTCCGGTGGATGCGAAGGTCAACAGGTTAGGGCCGGGGACCCATCGAGGTATCCGTTCCTTGCATGTCCTCGTCATCGCCGCTGGCGAGAAGCCGCGATTCCAATTCTTCTCTCAGCTGCTTTGCAACATCCCGATCTCGAGAAGGAATGTAAAGCCTTGGTGGAAGAAGAATGTGGTCTTTGGGCATCTCATACTCCCATTGACTCAAGTATGCCGCAAATCTGACATATAGCGAGACCCAAAGCCAAAAGAATCGATCAAGAACTTCCATATCTACATCTCCCTCTATATATATATATATATAAACTACTGTAACGAAATAAATCTATATATAGTATTTTTTGAACTCATTGTGACCTCTGTCGACTCGCTCCCTGCCCACTTTGCTCAACTCCCACCAATCAGGGGCAAACCATGATGGAAAAACGTTGAATTTCAAGAGTACCAGGACGCTTCATATTGTGGTAGGAGGTGAGGGCCATTAGCATCGTCACCACAGTGCAGTACATCATGTGTACCACTACATCGTGATCATAGACCGGGCAGGGTACATACTCTCCAGAGGTCTGCCAGCCACCATATGGAAGCAGAATAGAAGTGGAAGTCTTGGGCACCATCACCGTGGGAGTCGAGAAATGAATCGGAAGGAAGCTCATAAAGACTTTCAGCAACGGCAGTTGCAAATAGATTTGTCCAACACCAGCTTTCTTCAGGACATTGTACTTCTCCTTCCCCAGGTCTGCATCGGCCTGACAGCACTGCTAAGCCGTTATGCGTTTGCTATGCATTGCTGGGACCCCTTTCGGATATCTGGGTGGGCTACAGTGGCTACAGGTTGCACCAGGAAATCACCAAAGATTTGATTAAGACAATTGGACGGCTTCTTAATTATGAATATTATATATATACACCTGAATCAGCTATTTCCCAGTCTACACAACCGTAGCAAGTGATATTTCCCTTTCAAAAGGTATGCGGCAAAAGCCAGGACAAAAAAGCTAGGAAGAGAGTGAACTCACTGACTCACTGGGGGCTGGGGGATAGGAAGCACTGTCACTATTGAACTCTTTCATAACCTTCTGTCACGCGAGTTCTGCACGTGGAAATGCAAAGGCAGAAACATGTGCTCCACAGCACATCCAGAAAAACATGAATTAGACTGCTCGGAGCATGACCCTGATACATTCATGCTGGCTCAGCCGGTCATTGGGCAAGGCAACAAATATGAGGATGCTAAGTGGGAAACGGAGCTGCTCCGCACACACCTGGTTGTATAAACAAAAACACCTTCGCGCTAGAACATATGCAACCCCCAAAAAGTAAAATACAGTAATTGTGGAGCAAGGTTTGGTTGTACATTCACCCCAAAGAACTGGCAAGTAGACAACATGATTGCATGGTCGCTCCCTGAATCTGGCCTCACCAAGTGCATAGGCCACGCCATTGGCTATGATGGAAAGACCAGCCGTTCCGACAAATGTAGACAGAATAGCGAACACAATGAGGATGACCTGCAAGCACTGTGACAGAGTGCAAAGGGGCGCACAGCCTGGGAGTTTGAAGCGACGAATGACTTGATGAAGTGTCTTCTTAATATGGCTCCCAAGACCTAACTCTACGACGCGACTCCTCGAATGCATAATTTCAAGCCAACAAACATCTTGACACTCCCACAAAACGTCACCGTGCTAAGGTGCACAGGCCTGCATGCTATTTCCGATGGGCTTTGGGTACACGCACCAGCCCCCAGGGAGACGCTCCACCTGCACTGGCAAGCTATCTTGTTGCGTTCCGGTTGCTTCCGAGTGAGCTACTCGATGAACAAACTGTTTCAGAAAGCCATGCTTTGCCGCAAAGCTAGCGCGAACTACAACAAATCGGTGCATCCATGAAGACAACGCAGCACACCGATCGTTCCTGTGTTGGCACCATGCTGACGGCCGCTTGCCAGGTGCTCAAAATCACATAGCTCCAAATAAAAAATGCCACCACCTGAGACAGTGACAGGTCAATGTCTGCCGATTGCCATGGTAAAGTAACTCACATCCAAACCATGCCGCTTGGACGTGTCTCGTGGATACCTGGATACCTGAGTTCCCCGGCCCGGAATGCGAAGCGGAGATCATGCAGTTGCAGTCTGTGCGGCTCCTCGCCGAGGGAGCCATTATTCGACAAAGAAGGAAACGAACACAGCATTCCCAGGAGTAGATTCTCACATGATTCCAACACTGAAACTTGTAATTATCTCTCCGAAAGCTTCAGCGTGTTGAAGGAATGCCAAGCAGTTCAAAATATCATGTTGTCGGCACACAAGTTTCCCTTCCAATGCCCTCAACCTTGCTCCAAAAGCAGCCCAGCGCGGGAAGCATGTCGTTGACACCTGCAAACATATTTCACCCTCCAATCAGCACTACCAGTGCCTTCGATGTTCTTCCAAAATCATCACATCCAACTTTTCATGTTCCAACTATGTATATATATATATATTTTTTTTTTTATAAATAGTCCTGCTAGTCCACAGTCGCCGCCATCCGAGCAAAACAAGACCACCCCATCCGCCTCCGCACAGGGAGCCACACCACCATCGTCTCTTAGGCACCTGCTTCACATCATGTCAACCGATGTTGGAGTCAGATTAGTCTATAAGCCCCAATATAGCCTAGTTGTCTATTGGTTGTGGAGGCCGATTGTCATATTATTTACCTATTGATTGTACACTTGGGGTTATCCCTTTGTCCCCCTATTCTTCAATGAACCAATAGTCAAGGGATGTCAAAGGCAATCACTGCTGACATCTGTTGAATTCTATTATAAATCTAATTATTCCGTTGATTGAATGGTGAGAAATCGCATAGAATTGTGGCACTCAAACGGCTCATGTAGCAATCGTGGCGCCGTCACCACCAGCCTCATTCCGGAACAAGTCAGCAAAACCAAATCTTGTGACACTTCTCACTGCGATATGAGAATAAGCATTTGCCAGGCACGTTGTAACATGCGAGCATGCACAGAGCAAGCTTCCTTGCGCACCTTGCGCATGAGACGCCTTGGCGCTGGTGGCTCCCCCAAAGCTTGGAGAAAATACCTCGAACGGTGAATGCAAAAACATGAGTAGCAAAAGAATGGAAGAGTTGCATGAACAGATTCTGGTAATTTGGCAGAATGGACAAAATACACGGTCAAACAGCCTGTCAAACACATTGTCAGACTTGAACTTACATAAGTCATCCGTTGAACGCCTCTAAACCTGGCAAGTATATGATCATTATATACTTAAATATATAGCAGTCGCAATGACTTCAGTTGGAAGCGAAGGCCGAAGGCCCAACCCCGCCGTCTTTGCCCAACTATTTTTGCCTGCGCTCAGTTGCTGCACTAAAGACCCAATGGCAATGCAGGAAAAGATGGCAATTAGCAGTTCCAGGACAAAGCCAAGTGCAGGCACCCAAATGCAGGTGTAAGCCACCTGAGCCAAATGTGGATAACAACTCTTTCACAAATTCACCTTACTCCCTTCAGTACACAAGGCCATTGATTTCCTGCCTTCACCGCTGAACTGCTAGGTATAGAATGATCTAGATTTCAATCGATGTGTCGTGTACACACACATATATGTTTAACGTGTCAGATATATAGTTGACATGTTTAAACATAGTATTTGCACCCTTGCTGCACATGACATAATCAGTCGACACAGCGAAACGCTTCAATTTGTGTTTTGTCATTGCAAGTGGCTAGCAAGCTTTAGGCCAAACAAGGTTAAGAACCAGGACCTTTACATAGGAGGATGCAAATGGATGCAACATGCGTGGAGTCTTATTGAGCCGCACATGGCTGCAACCGCTAAGTCCTATTGTGTTTTGCCGCTGGGTTCGGCAGAATTGTCCGGGCGAAGCTGCTCCTGCAGTGAAGATTGGCAGAGTGCCTCGGCGAGGGCACAGCATTTCGCAGCCCCATCAGTCGCTCCTCAACTAAAGCCTATATGATGGATGTTCTGCAGAATGTCAAGAAAAGAGACCTATGACTGGGATACATCCAAATCAATCTCATCTCCATCAACATGAGTTCCTACACTGACGACTTATACAACCATCGGCCATGCTGCTAATTGCCATTGCAAGCTGGACATTCATGGGCGTCACCGCATGACCTTCTCGATGCAATGTTTGTTCTAGTGTCATCTGGTCCTGGCCGGTCAAACGTTGAAGACTCGGTCGGACGACGGAGACCGGACGTCGTCTCAGCGATGAATTCAAAGTTGCCTCCTGACAACACCTGGACACTAAACCAAAGAAGGTCAAAAGAACAAAAGTGGACCCCGTTTGAGGTTTGCAATCTTCATGCGACAAGTTGCGTGAAACACATGGTGCAAGGAGAAGGCCGTGGTGAGAACTAAGCCCAAAGAGCCCAGGAAGCCAGCGATGTGAAAGATCCGCGGTGCCTGCGAAAAAGAGAAATAGCGGCGGTGATCGGGCGCACCGTGACCAGGCAATTGTTTCGCGCTGGACAGAGGGATTCTCTGTGCGCACCTCATTGATGTGGTCGTAGACATAGTAGCCATAGAGGGCGTTCAATGGCATAAGGTCAAAAGGTATGGAAAATCACGAGGGGTTCAGTACGTGAAACTTGCATTCATTGCTTTGAGCCAGGCTTTGGGCATGCCGAAACATCGTCAAATGGAAAAAGAAACACATCCAAGGCCATCATTTACAACCCTCCACATTTGGATCTAGTTCTATGATGTCTTTATACAGCCACATACTGCATGGGGAAGGCTTGCCATGCCGAGGAGGAAGCCAAAACCCGCCACTTGCAACTGATCTCTTCATTGACTGACTGAGGCTCAAGCAGGCTCAAGCGATCAAGCCAAAAAGCACACACTCGTCTTTGCGCCATGGCTTGCGGATAGTGGAGGTCTCACTTCCTTTTCAAGTTCAAACGCCACTTCGAGCTTCAGTGCTTTGGTGCCTTCATGCCAGCTTTCTAACGCACATGTTTGGTCATCGGAATTACTTGATGATTTATCTATATATAGCGATATTTAGGGTCTTCATTCAATGTCATGACGTCTTTTATCGTTTACAGCGTTTCGTACATGCACGCCATAAGCATCGTTTTGCAGCTTGCAGGTGTTTCTTTTTCTCACATTGGCACCCAAGGAATATAAAAATAGGGGCGAGGCATACACCGTCCCTTTGGACATCCTGTATCAAGGTTTCCCAGGTCAACTCACTAAAACCGTCTTGGTTGTAAATGAGCATGAATACCCCTCGTAGAAAGTATTTTGATACATTATTAATCATATTGAATTCATATTGAATACAGTAGCTACATTCGCTTACCTTTGCCAGGCTGCTCTTGCTACTCATGAGCCGCCAAGACCAGTCGAGCTTGTTCCCATGGATCTACGCCTCTACGCAGCTTTCAGTTTACACATTGGCCATCTAGTGAATCTAGAGGTCATCTGAATGGCACAGTACGGGACATCAAGGAGAATGCCCACCCCATGGCCTTGAATGACCCCATCGGCCCCTTGGGCCGGCCAAACCGCTCAGTCATGCCGAGTCAGTGACGTCACTGCAAAGGCAACACAATTCAAACAAACAAGCCGGCTGTGCCTAAGCGCCACCTCCCATTGTCGCGCCTGTCATTTTTCTCAACACCCCGACAGGGAAGCATCAAACATGCCTGAGGCGGGCAAGTATATATATATATATATATGGGCTCGCACGGGCCAAGGCCTAACAGGTCCACATGAAGGCTCATGCACGTGGCATCACATCATGTGGCACATTCTTTTGATGCTCGCTCATTCTCCGCTGCTAGTTTTTGCAGTGTGCCCCCACAACAACATAATTCAATTTCAAATACAGTAAGTCAGTAGTCTAGTAGTGTCCGTGAACCAAGCTGGCACTGGACATATCAGTGCTCTCGATGTACAACAAGACTTGATGTGTGTGTGTGTCACCCCTGTACCAAAGGGTTACTGCCACGGTTTTCCATTGCAACCACCCCACCAAGCAGGGGGGCAGAGAGGACTTGCAAGGCTCTGCCCAACGAAGCTCTTTGCAAGATCCTAGGAAGCGGAAGCTGATCACTTCCGTGTACCTGCTCGTTCTCTCGCAAGCTGTTGCCCTACTCTTCCACGGTTTGATTCATGGTTCTTCATGATACGTCCCTCAAACCTTCTGCCGCTTGTCCTGCAGCTGAGCCGCGTTGATGTTCGCCACCGCAGACATGTCAACAGATTGTTAAAACCATACAAGTGCGCTGACCCTCTCACCTTTCCGTTCCCTCGCCATTCTACCTGGGAATTGAGTGTAACTGAAAACCAATGTCAGAGTGTGTTTCGCTCAGCCGTCCCACTCGGGTGCTGAGTGTGATCCCCGTCCCTTGGGCGCTGAATTCACTCCGGAAATCGTGTAACTGAGCTTTTCCACCCTCACCGGAATCCACCACTGGATCAACCTTAACTGAATTTACTGCCTCCACGGCCGCCGGGCCAAAAAACGGGACTTCAACAGATTCCACCCTGCATCGGTTTTGTATCAGCTTTGAACTTTGCTTTTCGTGGTTTCTTCCTCAAGCTCAGCGATTTGATTCATTCCGACCGCTTAATTCGACTTGCATGGACTTACCACCTTCCACACTTTCACAACAGGAATACGTCGTGGCGGACGATCCATGGCATGCAGACAATCACTGATTGCACCGCAGCTTTGTGCAGGCCACAAGCGCCTCTAGCTTCGTGGATTTGTGTTCTTACTTGATCACATCGACCCCCAAACGACACACCAACAACCCCCGGGCAAGGCGCTGATGCTGCTGCCACTGAGCTTGTGAAACTCTACGTCCAAAAAGGGCACGACTCAACAGCTTGCAGCCGGTTTTTGAAAAAAAAGCGCCGATCACGGCGATCTGTGTGTGTCACCCCCTGTACCAAAGGGTTACTGCCACGGTTTTCCATTGCAACCACCCCACGAAGCAGGGGGGCAGAGAGGACTTGCAAGGCTCTGCCCAACGAAGCTCTTTGCAAGATCCTAGGAAGTGGAAGCTGATCACTTCCGTGTACCTGCTCGTTCTCTCGCAAGCTGTTGCCCTACTCTTCCACGGTTTGATTCATGGTTCTTCATGATACGTCCCTCAAACCTTCTGCCGCTTATCCTGCAGCTGAGCCGCGTTGATGTTCGCCACCGCAGACATGTCAACAGATTGTTAAAACCATACAAGTGCGCTGACCCTCTCACCTTTCCGTTCCCTCGCCATTCTACCTGGGAATTGAGTGTAACTGAAAACCAATGTCAGAGTGTGTGGGGGGGGGGCAGAAAGTGTCGGAGCGGAGGCCCAAAGGAAGATGTGGCGTCCAGCCAGGCTTCGTCCTGGGGACTGGAAAATGAAGTTGGCTCTTGGATGTCCAGTCTGCAATAAAGGGCGCCAAAGCCAATGGCAGCATGATCGCAACCCTTCCAAATACATTTCTCTCGGAAAATCTTCATTGGCCCCACCTAATGCTAAAACGTAACATACCGCATCCAATACCCCAAAAACAACTCCCGAATTGTTCACCAAACTCCAAAGAGCAAAGAGCAACATCGTATCATCTTGGACATCCATGAGCAGTTCCCTCTGCTGCAACAGCCGCTTGCCCAGCCGCTTTCTGAAAGCGCTTCTTCAGACTGTAGGATGACAATCGTTTATCAGGTTGCTGCCCCTAATCTGCCCGCATCAAATTGCTCAACGCAGTAAGAACCAACTTGATTCCAGAAGTGTGGATAGGCAAAGCATCTTCTACCGTCCAACTGTTCGTTGACGCTCATGGGGTCGAAAATTTTGGCTACAACAACACGTTGACTGCAAAGACTATGACCCGACAATTTGGAGGCACGGGCCAAATCCCCCTTTGCTGATTTCTTTTTTTTTTTGGAAGCTGGGATACTAGCTGGGGTATAAAAACACCGGAGGGCTATAGAGTATATATAGAGCCAAATAGGCCAATAAGGGGATCTGACAAAGCCCACTGTCCAAGTGCACAGCTATGTGCAACACCCATGCGCTCACGCTTTCTGCGAGCGCTCAGTAACATTGTGCAGGAAGAGTGGGGAGGGGGTATCATGTCTCGTCACAACACAAATGTGCCGCCAATTCAGGTTGCATTTTGGTTCTTGGAACCAGGTGATTGTGGAACCTGTTGGTGCCAATGAACATTTGTTTTCCATCGTTTTCCGACATTGCGTAATGACAAACTCTCTCTGGGGCCCAGTCTGCGGTGAGGTTTCATATGGTTTCATCATGTTTTTGGCCCACTCGTGGACGTGCGCGTGGACTGGCGAGTCCTGCACCATGTTGGTGACACAAACCTGTACGGGAAGCACATCGTCGATGAGTGAGGCAAACATTTATTGATAATTATGCATACATATAGATATATATGCTAAAACAACACAAGGGGAACAAATGGTGAAACATACCATCACCTTGCCTCAAGTTAGCCATAGTGGCTCCGCATTCGAACATTCCGACTGGAAGCTGAGCAGGGTGCAAGAACGAAAAGCACCAAGCAAAGCAATATCTCAAACACAGCATGCTCAAGGACTCCATCGCCGGCTATGCACCCATCCAGTTGGCAAACTTCAATCTAGCTGGTGAAACGCTCATTTTACTTGGAACACTGAAGGCCAACCCTGGAGGCGAGAACACTGCTTGTCTTGGTCAGGTCAAAATATGGCAAAACGATCATCAATGGTTTCTTTTGCTTAGTTTTGCTGTCTCTGGAGCTGACCATCAGCAATTATAAGTGAAACATGTGGAAGGATGAGAGCTGCTTCTTTTGACATATATACGTTTCATTTAACCGCCTAATAGCCTCAATGTATACTTATATAGTTTCAAGGCCTGGCCTTGAGTATCACACGTTGGTCCAATAGTCTCATATAACTATACAATGATACGCTCAAGACCGCCGCTCTTTCTCAAAAAACAAAACAAATCCATCACAAGAATCCACATAAAAGCCCTGAAACTTCCCAGGGCCCAACGCAAAGCAACTTGAAAGCAGCCTAGCCCTCCACAAGTTCCATTGACCCTTCCTCAGAGGCTCGCTGCCGTCTGAGTGCCACAGTGAGGTCTTGCTCTAGACGAGGAAAGTCAAACCTGAGTCAAAAAAATCAGCGAGCTGAGACTGTGACTGACATGCCTTGGGAAAAAAAAAACAATGGTAAAACAATCTTCCCTGGGCCCAGTGGCTTCTGATGGCTATTAAAGGCCTCTGACAAAATGAACAACCGTGATATCATTTTTTGACTGTTGCAGGTAATGGGACACATGTCGTGTCGGACATGCCGGACTTGTCATGTCTTGTTGTCCGAAAGGTCGCCTGACCGGTGACTGCTCTGCTCGGGGCCTGGCGAATGCCAAAACTCCTTGATAGCTGATATGCAATAAACACCTCGGCACAATAAGTGGAGCACAACCACCGGGAGTTTGGGAAGTTTGTTGTGGCATGTTGCGACCCGCCAAGAAATACCGATCCACTGAACAAGTTGGCCTAGGTATGCTACCCAATTGTTGTGTTTTTGGTTGTTTGCTGGCAGTGTCATTCAAAAACCAGCTCATTTGTACTACTGTATTCGTTCAGTCTCCTGTGATGCGGGGTCTTGTTTCGGCTCTCAGCTTGTGGTTGCATGCAAAGAGTGGTTGTTTTGCAGGCTCAATGCCACCGTGGTTGCGACAAACATCAAAACACGGTATAAAGGTGTTGCTTTGGGGGGGAGGCTTGTTGTTGGATCTTGTTAGCAAGCTAGTTGCAATCGAAGGGTGCAAGCAGCAAGGATGCACATGTGGAGACCGAGATTGACTCAGTTCTAAAACTAACATCAGTTTCACATACAATCACACTCAAAAATCCAACACTTCAAGTGCAAC